TGACTTCAGATGCACAGGAGGCAGGAAGGGTTCAGCACAAAGGGGACCAGCAAAGAGTGAAGATGAGGTTTGGCACTCAGCAGTGGAACTTCCAGGTCAAAGGCAGGGGCTGAAGAAGCCATAAGGGAGAAAATTTTCTGCAAGGTCACTGAATCAGGAACAAACAGGATACTGAGAACACAGACTTTTTGTGGAAGAACAAGAACAAAGCAGGAAACCTCTTCATTCTCAGAGCTGATGCAGACCCTTCTTCCTTGAGTGTCCTTCAGCTCAGGAGTCCTGCGAAAGAAAGTTTTTCAGACCTAACTCTACAAGCAGCTTTTCTTCTCTCTCAGGGATTCAAGGAGTAACAGTATTATAGAAGAAATATGCATTTCTTTTCCTTTTTTAAAAATATTATTTTATTTTATTTATTACTATTTTTAAATTTGCTATGGGTCTTTGTACTCCCCAGACAGAGAGAGACAGAAAGAGAGCAAGAGGGGAAAGTGAGAAGGGGAGCCGCCAGGTCCAGGACTCGAACCACATTCAGCCATGTGGGAGTTCAGCATCTTAACCACCACACCACCTGCTGGCCCTGAGTACACATTTCTTAAGTCTCTCTGAGCCAGTCCTACCTCAGAGCACAGGCCTTTTACCAAGTCAAGAGAAGAAGCAGTATTGTAAACTGCCTGATCAGAAATTCTAATCCAAATACATCCCCATTATTTCTGTTTTGTGTCTTATCAGCCCCACCAACTTGCCAGGAACAAGCAGATCTAGGGGAAACTGATTCTGCCTCTGAAAGAGAATTAAGCAGTTATACCTGTTGGTTGAAGTCCAGAGTGTCCTGGGAACGAGATGGAGAGATATATATGTAAAAGACACAAAAGCAAATCTGTCCCCAGCCCCACATCTCCCATCTAAGGTTTCTCTATCACATGACCCACATCAGCCAGGGCAGACAGGAGAACAGATATTGGAATGGGTGACCTGCTACAGTTCATAGAAATTCAGTGTAATTTTCTAAATCCCAGTGGCTCTTCTTTCATTTTCTCCAGGTTCTAAATCCATGATCTCTGTGATTGTTAACATTTCTCCTTCCTCTGCAGGACACATGTTACCTCTTGAGCTTTAAGACAGTAACCATGGACTGTAGATTTCTGGAATTCCAAGAAATCTCAGGAGAAGGAAAGAAATGCTTTGTACAGGGCCACTGATACTCTAAGAACTGACTCTACCAAAGCCATTATTTCTTCCTCCAGAAAAATGTAGGTGGAGTCTCAGCTACCAAACAGTCTTTACCTTTCTGATTCCTTTTGTGGATGAACAGCCCTACCCCAAGGAAGAGCAGCCCCAGCACGGAGCCCCCAATCCCACTCAGCATCTTGCCCCGTGCAGATTCAGACTGAGCCTCTGGAAAAAAAAAGGGGAGGAGGAGGGAGTCAACTTTAAAGATGTTTATACCAAACCCAACCTCTCTAATTGAAACTCTGATATTCAGAGCTTTAAGAATGAAGGAAGTCTATCTTGGAAGAACTAGACTAATTGGCCATCCCTGGACATAGAGTAGCTACGAGGTTCAGGCACTGACCACATTTAAGTTTCACAGCCCTGACAGAGGGCATGACTTCAACATCTGAGGGATAGAAATCCTGGAGCTCAGTGAGGTCAAGGAGTGTGTCTAGGATGACAGAGCTAGTGAGAGGAGAGCTGAGGACAGACTCCCCACTTAACAGAAGCCCCTGCACTGCTCCTCTTCTCAGACCACAGTGCACAGCTCAGAGCAGCAGCCCCAGAGGGAGGTTGGAGCCATGGCCTAGGGCGTGACCATGCCTGTGGTATCATGGGAAGGTTCAAGACAGGAAGAAGCTCTCTTCTACTTGCCAGGACCAATTGCTTCCCCAGGACTACAAGTATTTGTAGAAACCGTCACAGGGCTACCCCCATGACCTGTGCTGAGTGAGAGAACACAGAGCTAATGAAAATATGACGTGGGGAGAAGAGGACCCTGAACCTCAGGGATAAGCAAAGTCCCTCTCTTGCTGGGTGAGGGATTTATGAGCTCAGAAAGCTTCTCACTCCATTCCACCATGACAGGGTCCGTCAGGCTTGGGTGTTCCACTTGGCAAGTGTAAACCTCTCCACTCTGAGGAACTGTTTCCAGCATCACCAGGATCTGGAAGGTCCAAAGCCAAAGCCTGCTTCCTACACAAATGCAGCTCCCAGCCTGGCTCAGTGGTTTCCCAGGACTAGCCCAGGTGAACCATGCAGCGTCAGTTTATCTCGTGCAGCAGTATGGGATGTGGTTTCTAAAGGAAGGAGCAGCTGCTTAGCAGGAAGGTATGAGCCAAGAAAAGGCAGCACGCTCCACCCTGGCACCTCTCTCCCCACCTCCTTACACATTTAAACCAACAGATTTAAAGAAACACAAGCCTCAGTGTCCGTCTGGGCTCCTCCTGAGGGAAAGCTCTCCCCGGACTGTGATGTACAGCAGAACCGCCTGGGCATACCCTGCTCGGCTGGGAAAGCCAGGAACGGACACCACAGAGCGCTAACTAATGAGCACAGGCTGCTTAAAACAAAGAAGGCTTAAACCCCGATCTTGGGCAAAGCAAATATATTACATTTAAATTTACCACTGAGGGACCAGCAGATGAGGTAATGATTATATCGCTGGACTCACATGTAGTTGACTGCGGTTCAAGTCCAAGACCTGGCGACTTAAAACTCACACAGGGCACGTGTGTGTGTATGCCCAAAATCCTGAGAGAATGGAGAAGGGACTGAGGTGTGGCCATTCCCCCTTGTTATTTCTCACTTTCTGTCTATCTCTCTCTGTCTTTCTGGCGAGCACACGCACCGTATAGCAAAAACCTCTCAAAAAAAAATTTTTTTTTTCAAAGTAAAGTGTATGAATTAACAGAGTGATTTCTGGCGCTAGTGTGCCTGGTTCAAATCCAGGCTCTGCCTGTTATAGGTTGATCCTAGAAGAGTTTTTAAATTCTCCTATGCCTCAACTTTCTCACCTATAACACAAGACAAAATACTGATTTACTTCTTGAGGTTATAAATGGACTAATGTGTCTAAAATATATAAAATAATGTTAGAATTTAGCCTTCAATTCACATTAGTTATTTAATATCCTGATTACCCTGAAAATGAAATGTGGTTACAGAGCTAGGCACGGTGGTGCACATTTATAATCCCAGCTTTATGAGAGGCAAGGTCAGAGGAAAACTAGTTTGAGCCCAGCCTAGGCAACATAGGAGACTCTGGGAAAAACAAACAAATATAAAGAAACAAAGAAAAAACATTATGACTCAAAGCAAAAAGCAATCTGCTAGACTCAGGGATAGCAGTGGAGTAGACAGGAAGACGGAGTCTGAAATCCTGGAAGTGCTATCTCCATGCACGCCCACCTTGAACACCACGTGACTGGCTCTTCCTGGGAAG